GTAGTTTACATCACGAGCAAATAAAAATAATTCTTTGTACACTGTAAAAAATGAAATGTTGGATTTATTTAACCACGTTATGTTACCTGGTTCCACTTAACTGAGTTGAGTAAAGTTTTTTAGTCAAAGAACATGAGTTTGTTACTTTGAATTTACTCAACTCAGTTAAGTGGAACTTAAAATAACTTTATTATTTGTGACCTTTGTTTCTGCCTCAGATCGCCTGTTTTCCTGAGTGTTTGACGTGTTTTGGATGATTTGTTGTTTCTGCAGCCAACGTGCAGGCGGGCCGCGCTCTGATGATCATCTCCCTGCTCATGGGTCTGGCCTGCATGGTGGTCTCTCTGCTTGGACTCAAGTGCATCAAGATCGGATCAGCCGGAGACCAGTCCAAGGCCAAGATGGCCGGCATCGGAGGGATCCTCGCCATCCTGGGGGGTACGTGAACCTGAGACCACACCCAGATCAAACAGAGCGAATAAAGTCGGTCTGTTTGAGCTGACCAGGGTCAGGATCAGGGTCAGGATCAGGGTCAGGATCAGGGTCAGGGTCAGGGTCAGGATCAGGATCAGGGTCAGGGTCAGACGCAACTGACTGATTATCAAACAACAAAATATCAAAAACAAAACAGAAAACGTGACACAAATAACCTAAAAAAGTTTGTTTGTTTGTTTGTTTGTTTGTTTGTTTGTTTGTTTTGTTTGTTTGTTTGTTTGTTGTGCAGGTCTGTGCTGCATGGTCGCCTGCTCCTGGTACGGGTTCCAGGTGGTCCAGGACTTCAACAATCCGTTCTACGGGGGCGTGAAGTGAGTTCCCGCTCAGACAGGTCCGGGCCTGAGAGAAACCAGAACCTTGTCGGGTCTAACTCACTGGTTTGTGTGCAGGTTCGAGCTGGGTGCAGGTCTCTACATGGGCTGGGCGGCGGCGGCTCTGTCCATTCTGGGCGGGGCTTTGCTCTGCACCGCCTTTAAGAGAGCGTCCCCTGCTGCCAAGGCAGGGTAAGTGAGACCACACCTGTGTCCGGTTCAAACCTGCCATGACCTTTGGCCCCGCCCCCTGCCTCACTCTCACTTCCTGCTTCTTGTGTTTTTTTACAGCAACTATCCTGCAAAGAAAATCTACACGGCTACAGCCCGCTCCGAGCCCGAAACAAGCAAAGCTTACGTCTAAACACACACACACAAACACGTGCACACACACACACAAACACGTGCACACACACACACACAAACACGTGCACACACACAAAAACACATACACATTTCTTCACGGGGACTTTGCATTGACTTCCACTCATTTCTACAGCATAAACCCACTAAAGGTTGTTGCCCTCATATGAGGAGCAGTTGGTCCCCACAAGTGGGTAATACCCCCCCCACACACACACACACACGTTTCTTCCACACATGAAGTGAAACTGTTTTGTTGTTTTAATGTAAAATCTGCAGAAAAACTGAAGAATTTGTTGATGATTGTTGGTGAAAAACTTGTTTTAGTTTTTATCTGAATAAAGTTTATTTTACAAAATAAATCATTTTATTTTTTTAAATAATAAATAATGAAGAGTTTTTAATATTTTATTATTTCATCTCATCATTTTATTTTAAACTGGCTCCAGTCCTCAGGCTAAAGATGTTCTGATGAAGAGTATCCAACAGAACCGGGTCAGAACAGCCTCACACACACACACACACACACACACACACA